AGTTGGGTAATATGAATTTGTCTTGGAAATACAGCAGCGCAGAGCGCTTTGAATACTAGTTGTGCATTTTGCCCTCATACGGCAGACAATACCAAATCGGGAAACTTCATTTCAGTTGCAGTCTCGGTTGAGTCCGCACTCACTGATGATAAAAAGAGCAGATAAAACAGGAATTTTAGGTCACGTGTCATTACTTTCTTATCTGATCGATATTTCAATTACTTGGATGAGATTTCTGTGTCTGAACTAACTGGATATATGCATTCCTGCGGCTTTCGCGAACCAGGGGAATTTTTCCGAGGCAATCACGTGGCTAGTAGCGCTGGGGCTTTGACCTTGGGAAAATTACGCGTTTAGGCATTTAGTAATCTCTTAATCTCTTCCGAATCACTTTTGTTTATATTACTCACTGCTCAGTGTTCATTATCAGTTGCCATCGTATTTATAAAATGCTCCTTACCTCTAAGAGTTTACGAGTTTAAAAACTGTTCCACCCGACAACGCAAGTTTTTAGACTTTTAAGTCAGTTTTCCCAAGATAAACTGCATGCCAGGAGATTTAGATTTGTAAGAGTTGTTCACTCTATAGAGGGTGACGTTTGCCAACATGAAATCGCACATGTACTTCCTTAAGATAACCATTTTCTCCAAATAACGAGCAATGATATTGAAATTCGCCCAGCGTGTGTTCCGTTTGGCATAGTGCAATTAAGCGCGAGTCAGAGTATAGTTAATTCAAAAGGGACTGTACTTAGAGGGAAATGCCACGTTCGCAATAGTTATGGTTATTAGTTTATCTGTTCGGTAAGGCAAGAGAATAGGGGCTCCCCGTGACATAGCTGGGCGTGCGCTTACTTCAAGGAAAGTTAGGGACATTACGACTAGGGTTATGACTCAAATTAAGTTAATAGCCCTGGTTGTGGTAGACGTATTTTTAGCGTGATTGTGAGCATTAGAACAGGAGAATGGGTACCCTTCCTGAAAGTTAGTGCACGACCATCTATGTGACGAGAAAGGTCGCCAATTCTGCATCCTACTACACAACATTTCACGAAGAGGATCGGTTGTTGGCTCCCTCTATCAGTGGGTAGATTGAGTCTAAATTTTGCTTAGAACCGGAATGTTCATGTGCATATATTCCTAAGTTGACCTGCATAAAGAAAAAAAGAGGGTATGGGCGAAATCATTGGTGTGCCTATCTAAACTTCAATCTACGAACGGATGCCAAGAGAATCTTGGCGAATCCTGATGATAAACCCTAAACAGAGAAACCACACTCATCTGAGCCGACTTTTCCCTATGTGTTTGTAGTGCAGCGTAGAAACCTGTTTGAAAGCAAAGTGTCCAGACTACCAAACTAACCCTTTTTGATGTCCATCAACTAGGTTTACATTTTATAAGACAATCAACGTCCTGGACACTGGTCATAACTTAAGCCTCAGTTCCTGAAAGAAAATCCTTCCGACTACTCCAACAGACTACATTTATTCATCCACTATTGTAGCTTCCTACTCAAACCCACAAACCCACTGAAAAAAGCTAACAAATACTCAGCTTTTCAGCGTATACTAGTAGCGTATGCATTAATGTGTATGGGTGGTCTTAATTGGAGTGTTGTTTGTTTGGTTGACCACACCCGAGCCTTTAACGACCAACTCACTGGTATTGGTTCATTTCCTGCATTATCGTCCCCGGATATGCGCTTATACCGTCTACTTAACGTCCTACAACTTGTCTTTTCGTTCACACACATACTTCCTATTCACTTAGACATCTACTGGCTTAACTTTGTACACTTCGTTTATCTGTAAAAGTGAAAATGTAATTCGTTTGTAGTTAAGTAGACACAGTAGAATGGTTTACCGCAGTACATGTCAAGCGAATATTTGGGAGTTTAATCTAGCTATTCCGAATTTAACTTCTCGTTTTACTTGGCAACCTTATAGTGGACATAATGATGCCTGATTTTGTTCGAGAATTCGAAAAAATCTGGAGTAGGACTCACGTTGCTCGAGGGCCTTGCGCTAATTTCTAAGGGTATGGGTGCTAAGATGGGGGTCAGGGCTAAGGCTGGCGTTAGGGATTAGGATTAGGTAAAGCATACGCGAACATCTACATGTCCTGTACTATTGCACAAGGCCACCTACATTACTAAGGGGGTGGGAGGCCTGAATGGTTTCAATTCCCACATCTAACCGAGAACTCCTTCACATAGGCTACCTTTCCTCGAAGAGTGAGGTACGCGCTAGGCTCTTAAACAGCGCTTCAAGCAGAATACTCCCACGAACCAGGGATTCCAGAATATGTGCTTTTCGCTAAGGCCAACAGCGATACAAATTCCGGAAGCCTGCTTAGGCTATTAAAGCAGCTCATTTCTTAAACCATGCTTTGCACTACACGAAATGTTGAATCCCACTTTACAAGGTGACCTTTTTACTTTTTTTTAATCACCCACCTTGGCTGTTCTGCCCAGAAAAGAATTTTCTTCAGACTATGTACGCCTTTTTTGTTTACAGCTCCCATCCTCAGGCATCCGATCATGGACTACAGCCACCACCGGCCGGCCTGACACACTTTCAACAGACTCGATTGCGTGCATTCGCCAGGTATATTCCGATCCTATTTTTTTCAAAATTCGCCTTTTCTGATTTTTCATTCTTGATCTATCAGAAGAAAGGTCGCGAAGTTGCACAAAACCCTTTTAGCACACAGGTCACCCACCTGGCATCCAGACAAGTTATGCTGCCTTAAACAAAACGATCGTTCTTTTATCTAAAACTAGCTGTCTATTGTGGGCTTTGTAATGCAATTAGTCAGCAGAAAAAAATCGTCTTTTGTTGCATTTAAAGCGTTTTCTTGTCCTGTCCAAATTTTTTTTGATTAGCACAAAAAGTTTTTTTGAATGGCTTGAGGTCCGGCCTGCTAACAGAAATAAAAATGCGCCAATTGCCGCGGGCAGAGAGACTGGCTATGGTCTACAAAATAAGAGTAGAGTTGTTAGCGAAATCAGAGTCATGCCTAATTTGAGCGGTGAAGAGGAGTGCTACCCTGCAAAATCGCGGTATCCACTTGCCGTTAGTGACTACCACTGTAGACGAGAGCATCCGTTAGGATATCAATGAATACCCTACTGTTTAAATTCGATCACAAATTGGTCGCTCTGACTGAATATGCTGGTCGTGTAAAGCCTCGGAAGTCTAAAGAGCATGAAATCTGCTATCGAAACCATGTGTACTCCTGGGAATTGCTTCCTGGCATGACACATGCCGATTTTGGAGGCTAGCTGTTTAGAAATAAGTCCTCAGCAAAAAACGTAAATGTCTTCCCAGAATAAAGTTCTATAATCAATAGGATCTTGAGAAAAAAAAATGACCGAATTTCGTAATTTTTTTCTAATTATGCGCAGAGAGATAACACGGACAAAAGGTCCTAAGGGGCATATATCAGTGCTTTTTTATTGTTTGACGAATAAAATAATTCAATTGATCCAATTGTGCAAAATTCAGTGGTCTCGGTGGGACTCAAACCCACACCAGCAAGAGAAGGCTTGAGCACAGCCAAAAGTCTAGCTAACGTACTTATCGAGTCCCCACGCAGACGCTAGAGCATTTTCCTCCCCTCGTTAGCATGGGTTCGAATCCCACCGAGGCCTCCAAATTTTTACAAGTGGGTCAATAGAATTATCATTCCAGACACCTGATAATAAAATCATTGTCTTGCTTGAATAAGGCAAAGGCCACGAGACTAGCAGGATTTAATGACGTCATGCAATTCCTTGACCTCAAATTAATAGGTAATAACCCTTGGCAGTTGGATAGGAGGTCACGAACTTGTATGACGTCCTTGAATCCTGTTAGTCTCCTGGGCTTTGCGCTATTCAACTCTCTCCCGGAAAACAATACTTTAATTGGTTTGTTTGTTTGTAGCTCATTGTGGTTCACCATCCTTAGCCTTAGTCACCGTTCCATTATTACTAATTAGTAAGCAATTTAAATATTTGATATTGAAAATATTAGCAAGTGACTCACGCGGCAGCCTTTCGGCTGCCGATTTTCGTATGCGCTCAACCTCCACGTCCGAGGAGAAAAGCTTTGCCGTCGTAGTCGTACGGCGTGACACAGAAAAGTGACAGCAAGCCGCGGAAGCTCTATATATATGTTTACACCTTCCAATTGTTCGCGGGGTAAAATACAATACTGTCGACTAAGTTTATCACGGCGTTTGATAACACAGAATGTCACAAAGTTGCAAAATATAATTTTAAACGCGGGTTCTGTTTCTCTTATCTGCATTCACCTGATTTTCATTGGCATAAAATTTGACTTTATTGTTCTAGAGAATAGATTTCTTTAAAACTTTCTGTTAGAGCACAGTGAACACAAGTAAGGGGTTTGGAACTGTGCTAGAAGACAGCATAAGAAGTTACACAGATATCAGAAAGCGTCCGATTTCACCTAAACTTTGTCTGCTTTCCCCCCATAAAACAGATTTAAAACGGATTCTACTTTAGTAAAGTCTTTCTGTGTGGTAGATCAAGCCAATAAACGAAAATAACACCAAATATATTTCATAGGTTGATCATGATATTTCACTCGTTAAATCTTCACTTTACGCTTGTCAGTGTGGAAGACAAAAAAATGTTCTTC